ACAAATATCAATTATTGGGGGGCAAGAACATCTGTGATGGACCTTGAGAACTCCCTTGTGACAATCAGACAAATTCAGACCGAACTCAACATTCCCAGCCCTAGATAAATATACCGCTACCGCATGTGAACACCCCTCTCCCCGCAGTAGAGCCATCAGTGGTTCCCGCCGGGATTGAAGCGTAGCAGTTCTATGAGATGAAACATGAATTTCCATATCTGAGCATGGGAGAAGCCCGATGTAGACAACAACAGAACATCCTCAACTCATCCTCAACAGCAGTCAGCCAGGAYGAGGCCTCATCAGCCCTGTTTTGCGAGGTCGCCTCTAGAAGATGAGCTCTTCGTGGCTTCCGTGGGAGTTGGCAGCCAACGGACTGCACGGAAGCCCTTGCAGGTCGAGCCTTCCAAGGCTCCCGTGCGAGCTGGTGACCTAAAGTCAGTAGTGTTGCCCCCGTAGGTTGAGCTCCCAGTGGCTTTTTGTAGGAGTGGATGACCGGCGTCACTAACGAGGTTGATGCAGTGTAGCTGTGGCCCTGAACTGCCGACTCGCGCCGACAACAACATTATGCCCTCACAAGGGGGGCAGAACATGTACGTTGTGGTCTCGCAAGCACTCACCCAAGAAGATAATCCCACAGGATGACATAGAAGCAGCCATATGAGAAGTTACTATAGAATGACCATCCGCTTAGGTAGAAAGGTCAAGTCGCACGTCGGCTAAATAAGGATAAGGAGAGTGGACCACGAGTCGCTCCCAGAGCCCAAGGGCTAAGGTGTCGAGCTGATAAAAGACCTTGGCACCACATGAGACCCAATTGCCTCTTTGGCATGGGCAACTAAAAAAGTAGCTTGTGCGTAGGTAGGATGGGCACATACCCTACAATGTCTGTTCACTTCAACATACATTGAGATCGGTGTGCATACAATTTGGCACATTGGGGTAATCCACACTTAGAAAATTTCTACACAATGGAGTGAAGGACAAAATACAACACCTATTCGGCATACCAGTTCGGTACCATGACAAACACAAACTTGGCTGATCTCTTCACAGTTGACCTCTACCTCGGTTTTAGGTTCCGCGTCGAACTCACTGGCTACTCTTTTGAGAACTAGTTCAAGTGACACTGCGTCGAAGTATACCTAGGTGGAACGACCTAATAAAGTAGTCACGTAGTTAGAACCCCCCTTGAGGACAGCATGGAAAGCTTCGCTCTCGAGGTAAGGGTCGGGTTGCAGAACCCCTTGGCGGTTGCATCTCTAATAAGGTAGATGTCCTCGGGGTACCTGCTTCACCTCTCCTCGAGAGGATGAGTTCGCTCTCGTGCCCCAAGAATCAAGACAGTGAGGTCCTACATAAGGCAGCAAACACTCAAACTATTCTGATCTGAGAAGTAAATCAGACCAACGCTTGCGACTACGAACTAATCGAACCAGTCATATTGGGCCAAAAGGAGCAATCTCCTCCCTTTGCCGAGCTACTTTCATCTCTGGGGTGGGGGGCAATTGATGAGGGCAGATTTGGCCCTCCAATGACATCATGACACATGGCATCTTGGAACAGCTAGTTGACACATAGACACCACCTAAGCAATGACTTGGAGTCGCAAATCATAGTTTCTCTTCGCCCAGACCTGGCGACCTGCCTTCACCGCCAACCTGGCGACTTCGACCACAACTTAGGTCGGCTAGAAGCACCTCGTCCAGGGCCGACCTACACCACCTCGTCACTGGTCGAAGTGACCTCGACGCAAGGAGTGACCTCCCTTGAGGGCGTGCCAGCTTGACTAAGGTCCAGGTGGCGACCTGCGAGACATGCTCACCGACAAATTCGGCATGCATATCCCGACACTCCCACGATTCTTGGAAGTTGGCCCACGTACCGAACATTCTGGAGGGTGGTCAACGTGCATGATGTTTACCTCCAAGGATTTCAGACCGGTTAGGCACGATCTCCCAAAAATCTTGGATGCGGTGCATGAGGCCCACACAAAATAATGCCTATATAAGGGCACCAACCCCAAAGACCCATGGGGAGGAGAAAAAAGAGAGGTACGCGTGATTACTCTACTCTCTAGCACTCAAGCTCTCAAGCATTCAACTTGCATTTACAGCATATTTACTGACTTAAGCATCAAAGCGACCTCGCCGGGTTAGCTACCCCAGGTTCTCTGATAGATTGTTTTGTAGACCGATCTAGCTTGGTGTCTACTTGGAGTCCGGATCGCCCTCCAACTAGGAGTAGTCAGATCGCGTACCATCAAGAACTCAAACGATGAAGACCTAGAGAACATGGACCATTCATGTACAAATGTAATTAAACAGAGAAGGACAAAATAATTTTTTTTCCATTTCTGGTTCGTAATGCATGAGTTGCTTATACGAGTATGCATCAGATCACATATATAGCATCCTTGGCTCATTTATCTTGGGTTTGGTCCGCTCTGGAAACTAATTTATTGATAGCGAGATCACCTCGGTTTGGGTTTGTTATGAAATGGAACTCAGCCTCTGCACCAGAGAAAAAGGGGAAGGGAAAGAAGAGAGATCGGGGGAGAGAGAGAGAGGGAGGACTTCGGAAGCCTGTCGCTGTTGTTGTTCGTGTATCGTGAAGTTGGGGAAGATAAACAGTATTTTTCTTCCAAGGATAGTATGGGGATTAAAAATATTGTAACGGTAAATTTCAACGGAAGACTAACGGAAGGGGGTCTGTCTCACGGTCATAGTGCAGGGGGGTCTTTGCCACAGACCCCATAGTACAGAGGGGTCTTTGTAATTTACCCTTGAAAAAGTACTACCCACAAACTCTCCCACATTCCTACCCATAGGACATTACAGGCGCCCATTGAGAATAGTTCCCTTGCCATTCATGGAGTGACAGCAACAGTGTTTTGTGCGTAGATAAGTTAGAAAAGTTTGCGAGTAGGAGATCTGGACTGATATAGATCTGCTCTGGAGAACACATAAATAGCCGATCTCTAAATACCCCATCTTACCCAAAAAAAAAAAAAAAATCAATAGAACTTTAGACAGTTCCAGACCCGGTACGCCAAAATTTGATGGAAAATGACACTTGGAGAATCGGTTCTCAAAGCCTCAAGGGAGAAAAGTATTAGAACCCTGAAACGAACTCCAGATGAAACCAAAGGGATCCGAAATATGAAAATAATGCATGTGAGCCAACAATCAATACAATCATACTGGCTCTCTTGTCTTGTAGTTGCTCTACAGAATTCTTTGTTTTAGGCCTTGGAGGCATTGAAACTAATCTCAGGTCTCAATTTAGATTTCATCCGATTGCAGTGAGCTGATGTCAAACACCCCCCGCTGCTCAATTTCCTATGTTAACAGAGGTAACAAGGTGGCGCACATCCTTGCTGGGTTGCCTGGGCAAGTGGTTTCTCTCATCAGAACCTCTGCATGGTCGAATCCTCCAGCCTTTCTTGTTACACACTTGCTTTCTACCGGCAGTACTTGATTCCTGATTGCATCTATTGAGCAGTTAATGAAAGTGCCTATTGGCGTAAAAAATAAAATGAACCGTAATTTAATTTACTGCAAACTTTATGTAACAACGTTACACTCTTCTCAAAGGTGGATTTAGAGCCACCACTTGGTTGACGTTTTAAATCACTTTGATCATTAATAGCTCTCACATGTCGTTTGTCAATTTATCAAATCAATGAAGTTAGAAAAACCTAGAAACAATTGGTGCTTTCAATCAAAATGATCTCTGCTATCGAAACCAATGGTTTCTTGCTTGTCTTTTTAATTAAAAGATTTTTGTAAACCCTGAGCCTGAGCCAGTAAGGTGTGTCATGTATGTACAAGAAAGCAGAAGCTTCAAGTAGCCCCAACGTGGTAACGTCACCTCAGAAGCGCCGCTCGATGGAATGCCAGAAGGTTCATGCTTGCGTTGAGCTGTTTAACGGTAATCGTTGTAGGGGTGTCAATTGGACTGGATTTGATCCAATCCGATCCAATCCAGTCCAATGAAAATTTTGGACAGGTCCAATTCAATGTCTAAACCATCCAATATATTCAAATTCATTTTGATTTAGATTGATTTCAACCCAAACTTGGTCTATTGACACCCATATTCTTATCTTATCAATGGACCAGATATTAGCTTAATCCAACATAAAATTATTACGGACAGATCAGGTCCAATCCAATCTAATAAATATTTTAAACTGGACTGGTCCAATCTAATGTCTTGTTGGTCCGTCCAATCCATCCAAATTGATTTTGGACTGGACGAGGTCCAATCCAAGACCGGTCTATTGACACCCTTAATCGTTGAGGCCTAGCAGCTGAACGAGGGATCAAGCAATCTTTGATGAATGATGAGTACTTTTGTCAAGGAAAAATGCCGAAGGCACTAAACAAATGTAATTGATTAAAAAGAGGCGGGGAAAAAAGTAACATTCTCGTCATGTATTCATGTATGAACTTTTTATAGGGCAAAACACAGTAAACAGGGCGAAAGTTACAGAAAAAGGCTTGACATGAGAGCCAATCAAGTGGCGGAATGACAGCCAACCGGGATCTTTATTTTTACCAAACAGCATTTGGCTTTATTCTTTGTCTCTCAAAATCCATGAAAGCTGATAATCATGGCAATGATACATGGAAAACCCTCCCCGTGCCATTCCTAAAACTTCCCTCTTCCCATCAGAAAGCAACATGAACACAACAAAGAAGCAGCATTGAAAACGTATTGCTCTGTATTGAAATCTACCAATTCCCCACAACCTGAATCTCTATTGTTAAGTAACTGCACCAGGTGAGAAGAAATCTGGCTTATCTATCAAAATAAAAGAAAAAAAATGAAGAAGAAATCTGGCCTAGTTATCACCAGAGAGTAAAATCGCATTGTCATATACAGTGGCGTTATATTAAGCCATACGTCTGCCGTTCAATTGAGAAATGAGAACAATTTGAGTTGTGCACTTCAACAAGCACTTCTTATGAGGTCAATCTGGTCCGCATCAAAAATTTAAGCAAAATTAAATCAGAAAACCTAGTTTTAACATTTGAAAATTATTTCACAGAGGTCATTCTTTGAAAGCTGAGTCAATTCTAAACACTCAAGAATGAAATTGTGTTTCACTCCCCAAATAATACAACACCATGCCTTTTCTGATACCCATCCCCAAGAGCCCAACTTGACAACTTCCCTCATTAAATAGGCAACTAGAATTCAAAGTTTTATTTCAGTAAAAATATTCATTTGTCAAAACCACCGTGCATGTAAATCTCATACATGCAAAGAATGACCTACTTACCTTGAAAATACATTATCTTGCTAGTTGCTATAATAACTCACGCTGCTGCAGACTGCTTATCATCATGGTCATCAAGATTCAGAGCTTGCAGCAGCTTTGGCCAGGATTCTGGAATCCCTCCTGGTAGATCAAACTCCATCAACTTTCCTCGGCTGCGGTAGAACCCCTCCACAGGCTGGCTCTGCAGGAACAAGACAATTTAGATTTATGAATTACCATACCGATGCCATGTTTTTATCATCGTCATGGTGGCAACAAGAGCATATAAGATTTTCACAATAAACAGTAGTTTTTTTTTTCCTTGCATTCCCCAAAGCATAACCCACCCACCCTGGTGAAGGCAGGAATCAATCCCAAGCTGGTGCAGTAGTACAACATAACTCTTGAGCTAATAGAATGGTGGAGGAAAATCAGGATGAAGATGATGAATTGGAAAAAAGGAAGCTGGATTCACGAAAAAGAAGTCAACTTCACTTTTTAATTGCTTTGTTATCACGTTGGCATGGTGTGTGGCTGCCACTAAACAGCCATAAGGGAGCCAAAACTACTATTAAGCTGGAACTGCTAAGGGAGTGGCTAGGGGCCATTACTTGGTGTAATGGCTCATGCTTGCAAGTGTGAGAACACAGGTTCTGGTCTGAGAGCAGCCACTTTGTGCCAGGACTATGCCCAGTCTACCCCTTCCAAGACCCCAGATAGCTGGGAACAACATTGGGTAATGGCCTTTTTTTTGCCAATGGAATGGCTATTATTTTTAGGGAGTTGGTAATATAAAGATAATCCTGATATTATTTTTTATCTATGAAACTTAACTCCCCAAGGCTAAGGAAGGAGTAATTTGTAATTGAATTTACATACATCTGTTGATGGTTGCTTTCTTTTGTTTATGGTTACCTAAATCACAATTCTACATCTCATTCTTGGATTAGCTAATTGGGCTGCTAAGTTCGATATGTCTTGGTTGATAAATGGAGATTTGAATAAGAATTCTGTTTTGTATTGTTCGACACTGAATTGATTATTTTTCATTGCATATATCTTCAGGTATCTCTCATCTGGTCAATAAATTTCATCTATTTGATTCTAAATTTGTAGGTGGTAGAATTATCTGGTCCGATAATAGGATTGATAGGGGTTGTATTAGAAGGTTAGACAGGGCCCTAGATTCTCAAACTTGGCTTCGAACGTCTCCAAAGACTACTGTCACCGTCCAGGGAAAAAAGGACTCCGACTATATTCCTATATATTTTGATACCCAACTCAATAGTATTTTGGCCCAAATACTATCTGTTCATGAGGGTTGGTTCTTGAGGGGTTTGTCGAGGAGAGGTAAGGTTGTTTGGGAGGTGGTGCCAGCAGTTGTAGTGTGGTCAATTTGGACAGAAAGGAACAGGAGGATCTTTGAAGACAAATTCAGTTCAGAAGAGGAAGTTTTAAAGAGCATTTGGGGAAGGCTATTCTCATGGGTGGCGACTCATAAGCTGTTAAAAAATTGTCCTTACAGATCCTTTTTTGAGTACAGCACTCTTTTTGTATGAGTTATAAATAGTGGTTTTTGGGGATGTATAAAGATTTTTTTTCTACCTTGCTCAGTGCCTTATTGGGCAAGTCATAACTATTTGTGGCCCAAAGATGGTCACTTCCACTAAATGTGGCTTATAGAGTCTAGTTGTCAGCAATTAGTCCGGCAACACTTGATTTTGCATATTATTTAAAATGAATTGATTGAAGAGGGACCTGAAGTCCTGAAATAAAAATTTGTTTGGGAATTATATTAACTGAAATCCAACTTATTGATTCTCAACTCCTAAAGATGGGGAATGCTGAACCAACAGTTTTGAAATATGAACCACTACACAGAGGAATGTTCTTTTGCAAATAAGGAGAGCTAATCTATAGGTAGGGCTGTCAACAGATCAGGTCTGGATCGGGACAGGGTATAACCGGTCCTGAACCAACAAGAAATGTCAAGGTCCTGGAACCAAACCAGACCCTAGGGTCTGTAACTTTAGACCCAGAACCAAACCAATCGATTCTCAGGTCCATCAGGTCTGACCCAATGGACATGATTATAATAAACTTGTTGGATATATATGGTTCGGGACGGGTCTGAGTTGGTTCAGGACAGAGTAGAACCAGAAATGATACAATTGGTACAGTCCCATCAGATCCAACCCATTGACAACCTTATCTATAGGCAAAAATCACAGGAAATATGGTTAAAGGAAGAGGACTGAAATACAGAATATTTTTCATTTGGTCCAGCCCCTTTCAAAAAACCTACTATCTCAAATTAAAATATATAAACATAACATGTAAAACATATTTAAAATGAAAATTTAAAAATAAAGCAAACATAACATATAAAACATATGCAAGCATGTAAACCATTAATCTCTTTATTTTTTTTCCCAATTGCATTACTTCAAATAGATAATATGATAAACATTATGCATTCCTCTGATTCTACGAGCCGCCTTTGTACCAAGCCCCTCAAGGCAAGCCCAAACAAGTCCACATCAGGGTCTTAACAATTCTATAAAAAAGGTTTTATAACTTTAAGTGTCTTTCAAAAATATCCTTTATTAGGATGAATGAATGAGCAACATTAACAAATAAGGGCGAAACAGAAAGAAAAAAGCACAAATTTTCAAAAGGCGTGTGCCTAGGCTGAAGCGCAACACACCAGGGGTGCACCTTTTGAAAGTGTTGCACCTGGGACCTATGCAAGGCACATGCACCTCGATTGTGCACCTAGGTGTGCCTCAAGTGTGCCTTTTAAATCACTGGTCAGGGTTAAGGGTTTTCTCCAAGTTGGACTTAAAATCTAACTACCACCAGATTGTCTTTATTAGGGGTGGCCACGAGTCGAGCTTCTCACGAGCTATTCGAACTCGGCTTCTGAAAAGCTCGGCTCGGCTCGGTTTAAACCGAGCTTCAAGCCGAGCTTGA